TTAGAAGTAAATTGCAAACAAGCAGCAGGAGGTCCTTTGAAAAAACCTAATTATCTGTCTCTCTTAGGAGAGGCAACTCGGGGAATCATTCACTTATTGCATGAGGTAGAAAATTTAGCAGCCGAGAATAATGTTTTAAAATTGGTTATGAACCAGAGTAAAGTGAATGAAACAGAGGAGCATGGAGAGAAACCAAGTAAAATATCTGTGCAACCTACTGCACCCTCTCCAATTACTCCATCCACTCCACCACCATATGCAGAAGTTACAGTAGAATTGAAAGAATTAAAGGCTGACTATGAGGTAGGAGAAGTAGCTAAGGGTAGAGCAGAGCCAATACTGGAGGCATGTCCTATAGTAACTACCACTTGGAAACAACAAGGAACAAATCCTGCAATTAGGCAGAATATCTATAGAGAAAGGAACAGGGAGGAAATAGAGGATTTGGCTAGGAGAACAGTACGATGTACTAATGAAAATTGCTATGTGTGGCTAGGAAGGATTATAGAGGAAGAAACTGGAATAGGAATCCTATTAAGTTCAGAGGAGGCCCTTCCACTAATAAGAAATTCGGGATGGAGTAAGGGGGCAATTCTCACAAATACCATGAATATAATTCCGGGAGGCATGTATCCCATAACTTTAGCTGGATTAATTGCCACCGGGGTAAAAAATCATTTGGGAGCTCTAAGCTTTCCCCAAAATTTAGAAGGGGGTATGAATAGCATCAGGTATATAATATGGGGAATTAGTTTTGCCCATTGGACAGCACCCCCAAACACCCTAGCGGCAATACAACAGAGATTAAGGAATGATTCTTTGTTTATCAGCACTCTTGAACAAGTAACTTGCAACAGGATGTCGTTAGAGGTAGCAGCAAATGTACTGAAAACTCTAGGAATAAAAGCCTGGTTACTGCCGCTGGTGGGGTAGACACCCTGGGAGGTAGCTGATCAAATAGGAACCATAGTACAGGAGGAAGAAATCAAGAAAAAGCCCAAATTAATAATATAGAACACCATGTGCACACTCCTTATCATCCACAATCTAATGGGGTTGTGGAGAGACACATTGGTATTTTGAAGACACAATTGAAAACAAATTTAAAATCAATTTCCTTTAAAAATGGGGAAACATCCCAACACTTATTTTTGTTTAACTGAAGAAAATCAAACAATATTAGTACACCAAAGTTGGCTAACCTCACGAAGCTAGGCCTCACAAGGACCTAAGCAATCATTTAATTTTGTTACAGGTGTCAAGGATTGAAGTGGCAACAGTGGGAGATCAAGGATGAAAATGATCCCAGAGATGAAAACTGGATGTGGCTAACCAATGCAACATTATGCAAACCAGTACCTAGACCACCCAACGTGATTCTGGGATATAATGCTGATGTATGGAATCTCACAATACCAGGTTATTCCCTTAAATGTAATATTCCTTGGGAAGGACCATGGAACCCCTCCAAATTATTAAATCCTCGTGATATAATTAATGGACCATATCCATATGGCATTAAATTAACAGAAGCAGGGATAAATGAAACTGAGTACTATCCAACACCATGGGGTTTTGTGAGAACACACCCAGAAAAGGGTGTATTTGGGGTAAAATTAACTATTATCCCAGTAGGGTTATTTGAAAATGCTACAGTAGATTATCATCCAATGCAAGTGGAATAAACTTTTCTGGAAACCTAACACTGTCCAGAACAGTGGCCGGCTTACCACTAGCACTTGGTGTCGGACTATAGTACATACTAGAAAAGGGATATTACCTTATCTCTTAATCATAAGGAATCCACCGCACCAAGAACAAAGTACAGTAGCCTGGCATTTAAAATCTCCTGAATATTCCCGCACTGCCATACGCATTACATATAACATTAACTGCACGCAACCACAAAGAAAGCGCAGGTCAGTCTGGACAGACTGGGCACAGCAAAATCAAGATAAAGAATGGGAAGAAACAGTAAAACCTGAATTCATGTCACTTTTGGGATTTGCCACTACACATGTGACCATTACAAAAAACATTACACAAAGAATGCAAAATTTCATAACATTAACTGAACAAAATGAAAATATCACTAATTCTAACATGAAGAAAATCCAAGCTAGATTACAGTTCATCACCTGTACACAATTTCATGAATCCAGCACCTTTGAACAACTTATTGTAACAAATTTAAAGAAAAGACAGGAGTGATTTGATGATGATTACCTAATACAGTTGAAGGGTGGTTATAAAGAGGATGGAGACAGACTTATTTCTATGGTTTCAGGGGACAGGACAAGGAGCAATGGTGCTAAATTGTGGCAAGAGAAATTTAGGTTGGATATTAGGTAGAATTTTCTCACTATGAGGGTGTTTAAGCATGGGAACAAGCTACCCAGAGAGGTTGTGAAATCTCCATCGTCAGATGTTTTTAAGACCAGGTTGGACAGACACTTGACTAGGATGATTTAGTCAGCAATGTCTTGAGCACTGGGTCTATTGCATTAGATGACCTCATGTGGTCTCTTCCACATTTACTTTTCTAAAGTTTTCCCCATAAGCTTCAGAGACTGCAAAATAAGCACTGCTGCTAGATAGTCTTTATTTTCCTTTAACAAAGTACACAAAGGCACAAAATTCACTGAATATATTGTCATTATTGTACATGTATAAATAGTGCTTAGTATTCAAGTACAATCAAGTGCGGAGACTTCCTATATTTTATGTAAACACAAACTAGTTCTCGTGCCTTTGGCATTGCCTGCATTGCAGAGAAGCCAAGAAATATAATATCCTAGTGCCATTTAACCATACTCTGTCAAAAAAACAGACAAATGACAAAGTTGTTAGTTATAATGACACTTTCATACTGCTTAAGCTGAATGCCTATAGACATGTTAAGCCTGTAAACATCTAGACACTTAAAATTCATTCAATCCATTTTAATAAGTAAGCATACAAATCTTAAAAGTTCACTAAACCAAAACTCCACTAGACAAGTCATTGCCAATTATTATTGAAGTTCTAGGTTTAAGAACCAAAAGGGACACTAGTTTTTAGGTCACCTATATGGAACCAGCAATACTTCATTTTAAATATGCAAAATAGAACCAAGGCTACCTATGACTGTGTTAGACTTCAACCAACTGTACATTCTGCAGTGCATTAGCTCACTGAAAAAGAGTACACATTTAATTTACAGTACCCAGTAGTCCACATAAGCTTTGACATACTGTGGTAGTGAGGCAGTTTGAGCTCAAGTGAGATTTTAAATCATTCTGTTTTAAAAAAGCCCACCTGAAGAGTAACAACAGGCATGAACAAAGCTAAAACTAGCTATAGAAGGCACTTGAAGCATTATTCTGATTCTATGACAGACTCTTCACTTTGTTCAGCTGGAGCAGCAAAATCAGACTGAATAATTGCCAATTCTGTTTCATTATCCGTCTCTTCTTTCTCAAGCTCTTCAGCTGACTTGTCCTCTTGCTGCTCAGTAGCTGATGCTGTGGCTTCTATCTGGTTTGTCTCAATAATGTGTGTAACTTCAGGTTCTGTAAAACCAAAACAATATCAATCATTAAATGATTTCTATTAATAAAGATATAGTTAACACTTGCATAAAAACATATGTAAAATTTATACTCCATAACATTTTTCAATTAGATTCAGATTTAGACTATTGTTACTTTATAAAAGCTTTAAAATACCAATAACTGATTGAGATGATATAGAATGATATCAAACTTTGTGGGTAGGAAAATAAAAAAAGGAGCACAATGGAAGGAAAGAAGTATCAGAATCAGGCTGAAAGCTCTCAAGAAAGCTTCGTATATTTCTTGTTTATTTAACATACGTGTATTGCGCATACACACATTAAAAGAACATGAATCTTGACAAGCACTTCAGAGTTAGGAAATACCAGAACTAAAATTCCCTGTACAACTTTTATTTGGCCTCCCTGTAAGGTGCATTATACCCCAATCTATTCTTCTGTCCCCATAATGCATTATGGCACCAGAGACACCAACTGGCTCAGAGACACATGAGCTTTCAGGGCAAAAATCTACTTAGTCTCATCCTGGGTCTCATCCTAGATGAAACAAAAGGTTCTTTAGAAAAGTAGCACAGACAATCCTAGTGCTGGAGTTTCTTTATTTTAGAGAGCATAATTTGGCAACTTTAAGTACTCGTTTAATCTATATTTGTACACTATTTCCTAAGTATTCTTAAGTTTTCAAAATAGCCTTCTGAAAAAAAATTGGAATTCCAGTGTCATCATATACTGCAAGTCATTGACAGAACTGAAATTTAAACGTATTGCACTGGCCTTCCAACTTAAAAGGTAATAGATGGAAGGTGACAACCTATGCAACAGTCAGCTTCAGCATATCATGGGACACAAGTTTCAGAGAAACCTGCCTACAGCACAGGTACAACAAGTCTCAGGATCTGGGGATTCTACTACAGGCTCTGGTAGTGTGGTGCCTAGATTCATTGATGTTAGGGTCGGAAAGGACTTCAACAGATCATTGAGTACGACCCCCTACCCTGGGCAGGAAAGAGGGTCAGATGACCCCAGCCAGATGCCTATCCAGCCTGCTCTTAAAGACCCCCAAGGTAGGGGAGAGCACCACCTCCCTTGGAAGCCCATTCCAAATTCTGGCCACCCTTACCGTGAAGAAGTTCTTCCTGATGTCCAGTCTAAATCTGCTCTCTGTCAGTTTGTGACCATTGTTCCTTGCTATCCCAAGAGGCGCTCTGGTGAACAAAGCATCTCTGATCCCTTGCTGCGTCCCCCTAATGAATTTGTAGGCAGCCACAAGATCCCCTCTTAGCCTTCTCTTGTGGAGGCTGAAGAGATCCAGGTCCCTTAGTCTCTCCCCATAGGACTTGGTCTACAAACCCTTAACCATACGAGTAGCCCTCCTCTGGACCCTCTCAATTTTATCCACATCCACACCCAGAGTGGTGGTGGACTGGTCGTTTTTGACCTGGAGAGATGTGGGCAGTTTCATAGTAGCTAGGGTCAAGAGGGACCTGAACAGATCATCTAGCCTGACCCCCTGCCACAGGCAGGAATGAATATTGGGTTCACAAGACCCCAGACAGATGATTGTCCAACCTCCTCTTGAATCTGCCCAAGGTAGGGGCGAGGACCACTTCCCTGGGAAGTTGGTTCCAGATTTTGGCCACCCTAACTGTAAAATATTGCCTCCTGATCTCTAACCTAAACCTGTTCTCCATCAGCTTATTACCATTGTTCCTTGTCACCCCAGGTGGTGCTGGGGAGAAAAGGGCTCTACCTATTTGCTGTTGATCTCCCCTGATGAGTTTGTAGGCAGCCACCAGGTCCCCCCCTCAGCCTCCTCTT